AATCTAAATTTATCCAACTTAAATCCATTATTCCTGGTTCTTACCTGGTTCGACACCCTCAGTACTTTATTAATGTCTCCCTTGTTAATGCCCGTCATCCACTTATACACTTCAAGGCTTTAAGTCTATCTTCATACGGGAGGTTCATTACACAGTAAATCATTTTAGTCATTCTTCTCTGTATGTTCTCTAATGAGTCTATGTCCATCCTGTAGTAAGGGGACCAAAACTGAGCAGCATAATCTAAATGAGGCCTCACTAGTGATGTATAGAGCTGTAAAATAACTTTTGGACTTCTGTTACTTATACTTCTTGAGATAAATCCAAGTAATCTGTTGGCCTTGTTGCGCACACTGAGGCACTGCTGTCTTGGCTTTAGATTTCTGCTTACCATGACTCCCAAGTCTTTTTCACATTCTGTATGACCAAGCTCTACTTCACCTAGATTATAGCTTCGAGGGTTATTTTCATTACCAAGGGCAAGTACCTTACACTTATCCACATTAAACTTCATCTGCCATTTCTCAGACCAAGACATTAGTTTGTTCAAATCGTCCTGGAGTTCATTGATATCCTCCTCAGAGTGAATTATACGCCCTATCTTTGTATCATCAGCAAACTTACTCATGTCACTAGTAATCCCTTCATCAAGGTCATTAATGTAAATTATGAACAAGAGAGGGCCCAAAACTGATCCCTGTCGAACGCCACTAGTGACTAATCCCCATTCAGATTTCACTCCATTAATGGTAACTCTCTGCTTTCTATTGGTAAGCCATGCCTCAATCCATGCTAGAACTTTACCTCCTATACCATGAGCTGCCACTTTTCTCAAGAGTCTCTTGTGAGGTACTCTGTCGAAGGCTTTACTAAATTCCAAATAAACAATATCATATTCCTTATCACTGTCAACTGCCTCAAATGTTCTATTGAAGAACGTCAGTAAGTTTGTCAGGCAGGAACGACCTCTCGTGAATCCATGCTGAGATTCATTTATCAAGTTATGCTCTTCAAGGTGACTTCTGATAATGTCAGCTATAATTGATTCTAATAACTTGCCCACTATAGATGTCAGGCTTATTGGACGGTAATTTGAAGGAGTGGACTTATCCCCTGATTTGAATATAGGAACCATATTAGCCATCTTCCACATCTCTGGCACAACACTGGTAAGGATGGACGCATTGAATACACTCGTTAATGGCTGACTAAGCTCCATCTTGCATTCCTTAAGTACCCTTGAAAACAACTCATCGGGTCCCGGGGACTTATTTTGTTTCAGTTTGTCTATCCGCTTAATAACCATGTCCCACGTGACAGTAATATTAGTTAACTTGAATTCATCAGGAACTAAATAATTGTTAATTACTGGAATCTCATTTACATCTTCCTGTGTAAAAACTGACAAAAAATAGTCATTAAATAAGGAACACATTTCCAGTTCATTATCCGTCAGCTGTCCATTCCCAGATTTCAGAGGTCCTACTTTTTCCTTCACCTTCGTCCTATACACTTGAAAGAACCCCTTTGGATTAGTCTTTGATTCATTAGCAACTCTAATTTCATAGTCACGTTTAGCCTTTCTAATCGTTTTTTTTACTTCTCTTTTAAGCTGAACATATTGGTCAGTAAGGTTAACCTCTCCTCTTCTGATGCGCCTATAAATTCCCCTTCGATGATATATCCTCATATTCTACGTCTCTCAAGAAAGTGAAGATTTAAGGATCTAAGTCTGTCTTCATACGGGAGATTCCTTATACAGTGAATCATTTTAGTCATCCTTCCCTGTATAAGAACATAAGAACAATTTAGACACATGTGCAACTCTTGGGTATCTTTATTGAGGAAACGTTTCGCCACACAGTGGCTTCATCAGTCCATACAAAGGAGAATCTTGAAGAACAGGAGGAGAATGAGGTAATCAGTCCCTCAACCTTGAGTCGATGTGGTCAGTCCATCAATCTTGAAGAGAATACGGCATACGTGCTGAGAAGGAGCTTATAAACCGTTGGCAGGAGAGGTGAAGCAGTCATAGGTCGTGTAACATTTGTTCAATGTTGAAGTAGGTCGTACCCAAGAATTAGGCAAGCGAAGAATTCCCAAGTATTAAGATCCCAAGAAGTTGCAGTGTCTGACAGGTTTGTAGATGAATGGTTCAGAGAACCGACATGTTGATAAATTAGACACATGTGCAACTCTTGGGTATCTTTATTGAGGAAACGTTTCGCCACACAGTGGCTTCATCAGTCCATACAAAGGAGAATCTTGAAGAACAGGAGGAGAATGAGGTAATCAGTCCCTCAACCTTGAGTCGATGTGGTCAGTCCATCAATCTTTTCAAGATTGATGGACTATTCCACTCATTGACTATTCCACTCATCAACTAGATGAAGATTGAGACACTTATGCAGCATATGGGAATCTTTATTCAGGAAACGTTTCGCCACACAGAATAAAGATTCCCATATGCTGCATAAGTGTCTCAATCTTCAACTTGTCGGTTTTTCAAACCATTCATCACACTCATCAACTACCCTATTTCCAAACCAATACTTTCCTGTATCTTTTCTAAATCTAAACTTGTCTAATTTGAATTCATTACTGCGGGTTCTCTTTTGGAGAGATATCCTCAAGATGTGGAAAAAGACACTTATGTACAGTTCAGGATATTTATTAAAGGAAACGTTTCGCCAAGAGTGGTGACTTCTTCAGTCCATTGAATTTATATCCATTCTGTAGTAAAAAAAAAAAAAAAAAAAAAAAAACTGAGAGGCATAATCCAAGTGAGGCTTTACTAGTGATGTATAGAGCTGTAAAATAACTTTTGGACTCCTGTTACTTATACTTCTTGAAATAAATCCTAGTAATCTGTTAGCCTTGTTGTGCACACTTAGGCTTCAGGTTTCTGCTTACCATGACTCTCAAGTCCTTTTCACACTCTGTGTGATCAAGCTCTACTTAACCTAGTTCATAACTTCTGGGGTTATTCTCATTCCCCAGGATTAGGACCTTACACTTGTCCACGCTGAACCTCATCTGCCATTTTTCAGACCAAGACATTAATTTGTCCAAGTCCACCTGGAATTCATTGGTATCCTCTTTAGAATCAATCATTCGGCCTATTTTTGTATCATAAGCAAATATGCTCATGTCACTTGTAATTCTTTCAATAAGGTCATTAATGAACATCAAAATGGTATACAATACCGACAGGTTGTTAGGTAAGACACATATGCAACAGTTAGACAACTTTATTCCGAAACGTTTCGCCTACACAGTAGGCTTCTTCAGTTCGACTGAAGAAGCCTACTGTGTAGGCGAAACGTTTCGGAATAAAGTTGTCTAACTGTTGCATATGTGTCTTACCTAACAACCTGTCGGTATTGTATACCATTTTGATGTTCATCTTGTCAGACACTGCAACACGTGGCATCTTGGTACAGAAAACACCTTGGACAAGCTTTTCAAGTGAGAAGGGTTGGATCTGAGAGGGACATGACCTCTCAGTTGCCTCTCACTACTACTACTACTACTACTACTACTACTACTACTACCCTGCACCTCTCCTTCCGACAGTATTTAAGTCTCCGCACTGTCGCTTGATCTTCAGATAGTTCCTGACTATGGAACTGAACTTCTCCAGGCCGAGGGACTGACAACCTCAAATTCTACGACTTTAAGGGTGATGGACTGATTACATCGTCTTCACATCTCTACTGTTCCTGCCTACTTTCTGTATTCGACTGAAGAAGCCTACTGTGTAGGCGAAACGTTTCGGAATAAAGTTGTCTAACTGTTGCATATGTGTCTTACCTAACAAGGTCATTAATGTAAATTATGAACAACAATGGGCCTAAAACTGATCCTTGTGGAATGCCACTAATGACCAGTCCCTATTCAGATCTGACCCCATTAATGGAAACTGTCTGCTTTCTATTGGTAAGCCATGCGTCTATCTATGCTAGAACCTTACCTCCTATACCATGAGCTGCCACTTTTCTTAAGTCTTTTGTGAGGTACTCTATCAAAGGCTTTCTGAAATCCAAATAAACAACACCATATTCTTTATCACTGTCTACTGCCTCAAATGTTTTATTGAAGAACGTCAGTAAATTTGTCATACAGGAACTGACTTTCGTGAATCCATGCTGAGATTCATTAATGAAATTTTACTCTTCAAGATGACTTCTAATAATATCAGCCATAATTGATTCTAATAATTAATGTGTTCCATGAGGCGTGTTTCGAGGTTCCTTGTTGTTTCACCTACATATATTCTGTCGCAGCCTCCACAGGGTATAATGTAAACCCCTGAATTGACTTGTTCATGGTGCTTCGATTTTATCCTGGTTACATCCTTTATAGAAGTACTGGTTGCGATAGCAACTCTAGTGTTAGCTTGTGCGAGTACTTTAGAAACGTTCAATGAACCTGGCTGTTGGGAAGGATAACTTTGTTAGGAGTGGCGTTAGTGCGTTAAGAATTAATGATCTGAAGAGCTCTTTTCTTGTAGTCTTTGATGAAAAAGGAAGGAAAATGTAAATCAGTGAAGGTTTGGTGTGTGTATGTACATTCCTCGTCAAAAAACTCAGGACTACAAATTAGGCATGTTGGCGAAGCGTTGAACTTCTAGGTGTTCCATATACAAACTGGCTAGAACGGCGCTGATGGCGAATGTATTGCATATAACGGCTGGACAAAGTTCCTGGAGAGCGAAACGTCACATTAGTTGCACTTACTTCCTTTTACCTAACATTTTGTCGTTAATTCAACTAACCTTAAAAACAGGTCACATATTGAGTGAAATTAATGATATGTCAGGCATAGCTTAAACTCTTCACAAATTCTGTTAATTATTAATTAATTTAATTTATATAACCATAAACTAATATTCATATTAAAATCAATACTTTTGTCTTTTCCAAAAAAATTCGCTGTAGCCATTTTTGTCTAAGTGCTTAGCGATTATTACTCATGTACAAACATGTTTGTCATTGTAGGTTTGGCTCGGGTTCCCCATCATGTACTTGGCACTCAGCATTGTAGTGGCGGTAATGCCGGTAGTGAAGCAACCCCTGGAGATGGCTGTATCCGTGGGGCTCATCCTTACCGGACTCCTTATCTACTACATTTCCAGCCACATGAAAACAATACCACACTTCAAGGATGCCATGGGTAAGCTGGTTAAGCTAATCAGAGCTGATGAAACACAACTCAAAAAGTTAAAAATGTTCTAGGTAGTCTTCACGGACTGACATGACCTCGTTTTCTTTCATGTTGATAATACTTGTTTTGAATGTATACATAGAAAAAAATATATAAATTTTATTATATGCAAGTATATCATAGTTAAACTTAAATAAATTGCAATTATTAATGAATACATAATGAATAACAGACGAAACTTGTGACGTTGTTATTACCTAATAAATAGATAAGAGCATCGGATGAATGCTGAACGTACAGAGTGGTTAAGTTACGTTCTTTTTGTATTACAGATAAAGTGAACTACATGTGTCAGAACCTGCTGAGATGCGCTCCTGAGAAGGCTGACTAACACAATTTACTCATCAGGGAAACATTCTTACATAAAGTTTAACGACTGATTAGGTATATGTAATATTAGGACCCGTGTCAGGAGACACGGGTCCTAATGTTTAGCATTCCAATGACCGTCATTTAATGTACAGCTTCACATAATTTTGCCTATTTTTTTCTCTGGTTTCAATTACTAAAATGTGTGCTGGTTCAATTACATAGTCTTGAGTCACGAAATCGTAATGACACGATTGCAAACAAACCATACCACGGGTGGGGATGAAACCCGCGATCAGTCTGTCATGTTAACGGCTTTAAGGGGACGGCCACGCTAGCTGGAGATTCGTCTGTAAAAACTTGCATTTGTGGTCACTGTGGTGCCTATGCTAACCTTCCTATGGTGTAGAAATATACCTAGTTGGATGAATCTTATTGTGGCTAGCTGGTCCAGTGGCTAACGCGACGGTCTGGAGTTTTGAGACTCTCTGATCGCGGGTTTTATCCCCGCCCGTGGTACGGTTTACATAGTCTTTTCGCATGTTCATTTAAACTGAATCTCTTCTTTCTACTCATTATCCCAATGCTACTGTAAACCTACTAGAACATATAAGAAATTGTTATGTTCTTTCTAAATCAGAATTAATTTCTGGAAAGGTTATTACTTTTCTAAAACTTACACTGGAAAATTCATCTCAAACCAATCTAATTACCAGAAGCAGGGTTTCTCCTGACAGTATTACAAGAATAACCCTTATTAATTTATTTCCAGTTGCTTAATAAAGTTAGGGAATCTCATGAGAAGGACAGTGTTCCTGGACGCTACTCTGAACATATTCTTTTCATTCAATACCTGTAAAAACAATATTTATAATTTTTCAGAATTTGAAGTTGCTAATAATCATTATTATATTGTTTTTAATCAGAGGAACAGTTACTGTTTTTTTTTAATTAATCTACTTAATAACATAAATGTACGACTATATATGCGTCGTTAGTTGCAAACAGTTGACAAACGTAAGTTTTGCCTGGAAGCAATTCCATATTCTGCGATTAATAGACGTGACATAAATATTGCCCGAAAATGTTAATTAAAAGTGTTAATTAAAAATGTTAAGCATCCACTACACTAATTTTATAGTAGATGCGTCCGATGTTCCACTATGGGAGACTGAAAAAATGAATTGAGGAGCAAAAATGTTATTGAAGAATTGAGACACTTATGCAACACATGGGAATCTTTATTGAAGAAACGTTTCGCCACACAGTGGCTTCATCAGTCCAATACAAAGTTGAAATCGGTAAGGAGAGGAGAAGTTGGAGGTAATCAGTCCCTCAACCTGTTATTAATTAAGGCAAGAGCGAGAGTTTTAGTTAAGGTCGCCTTTCTGTTTTAATGAGACGCCAAACGCAAAGTTACAAGCACTTTGAGGCTACACTGATGACGTCAGGTGTTGATTTCAGCTCTTTAACAGAGATTAAACGCTCATTCAATTTTTTAAATTCATCATGAAAAATCACTATGTTCAGAGGAATAGCCATTAAAAGTGATGTTAAAATTAATACAATATTAATAAGAAATACAAGACTCCATTTTGAAGACTTCACAAGCATCTTATATTTAACTTAATCTCCCAGTAATGTATCCCCTTTTTATTTTTCATTTCATCCTATATGTAAAACCTTAATGGTGATAGACAGGGATGTATCTAAGGAAAATAGCGCCTATGGCAAGCACTAAAATTGCTCCTCTCTACAAGCATCCGATACCCATCTTTTAGATAACTTTACCGTAAAATGAGCTCAAAAATACAAGTCAGGCTCGTAATATTTTAATTAACAAATTATGGTACTACATGAATATTACAACTGCACCTTCCTTGCTTTCAGCGATGCAAACTGGTCTATGATGTGCTCAAATTATTTTTTTCAGTTTCTTCTCATTCTACACTCATCAAAGCAAGATCACAGAGTCTGCCTTGACCCAGGGAGACTCTCAAATACGAAAGTATTAATTTTAACTAGTTGAATGATCTCTCACAACTGGCGACGGAAACTGAATAGCAATGCATAGATTGGGGAAATCGCTCTCGTCTCCATACAGAACAATACATTTGAGAAGCTATTCAGGTCTTAATATTTTCATGTTAGCCCGACACGTCAGCAAAATTCTGCAATCCAAAATTTCTTCATTTAGCTACTATCTATCAACATCAGAGTACAATTGGCCCAAATTTTCACATATCTTCTATAGATTGTTACTGTCAGCGCAATAACACAGTCCCTCAAGATGGAGAAGGAATCCAAACTTGGCATCAGTGTCGTGCAAAACGAGTGACCCTATCATCCATTTCTCTGTGAAGACGGTCGAGTGCTTCCATCATGACTCTTTCCATTTCCTCCTTGGCTCTTAACCCAGAGTCTCTCAAGTTCTTATCAGCCATTCGTTTTTTTCGTCTCAGACGTGTTTCAGCTTCAATATGCCATTGTTTACAGAGCCAAGTCCTTCGAGTGAGTCACTGACCTACGCTTTTCTTTCATTATCAAAATAATCTCTGAGAGCTTTCAAATACAGGACAGAATCGTGTAAGTTCATGCTAGGATCCTGCAGCGTTTTTTGAATACAGTCAATACGAATGAGTACCTCGTTCCAAAATTCTGTCAGTCAGAAAATTGTAACTGAACATGCGGTTATACAGCGCCTTGCGTAACTTTTGTTTCACTGGTCTCCTTTTCATTGTCTATTATGTCTGGAAACTTAAAGTATCTCCCGAAGGTATTTGTTCACGGGCTTCACTGCTGTTGTCCAAGCGCTCCACTTGGTTTCAGAAGTCCATTGTCATGCTGTTCAGCCACTTCTCATATGAAAATTCGAGGCTCTTCAACACCATCCAGTTCACAAGGTTCAATGCCATCAGGTTCAATCTCGTCAGGTAAAAATCTCGTCAATAAACACATCACCATCACCACCATTGTCTTGCCCTCCTGTCATGTCCACGTTCTCTCTGGCAGCCTCACGTTTAATCTCGCCACACTCAAATTGATCTGACTTGACTTCTTCTCGCTTGTGATGCATTTGTACTTCATCCACATTTGGATTCTAACAAACTTGTAGCAGGGTTTAAGGTGACTCCATGAAACTCGTCGAACAACTTGTTCCGGGCTTTTCAAAGAGGGGCATGAAGAGCTTGACTTCTTGGCTTCCTCCGCCTCCAACTATCGTCTCTTCCCTCCTTCAGCTCCATTTTCCTTCTTCGTGAAGAAATGTTTCTTGGAAGTGGCACTTTTAATAAGAACATTAAATTTCACAGATTTTTGCACAAAATTCTAGACTACCTCCCCAGTTTGCACAGCTGGCACTGAGCAGAGGTAGTGTGAGGTGCCTGGTCATGTAGCTCCCATCACTGTATTTTTACCTAACAATTTATATAAGTGGTTTAACAGTCTAGCCATCTTAGTGCTTCTCGCCCATGATAACCATAGACACATCATACATCTGAAGATTTTTTTTTCATTATCGGAGGAAGGCTTGTCTGGATATTATACAATCTGTTCAGTGGCGCCCCTATTCAAGTGGTGAGCAGGGCAGGTGTCATACCTTAGGTACGCAACTAGTGACAGGTATAACGTAACAATTAAATTGTTGTTAGTGTACTGTTACTGTGTGATTCTATATGAAATGTAATAGGGCTCTCAATTTGTTCAAGATCCTGTAAAACGCTAATGAAACTGGTTTTATGAAGTCCTTCGTAATACCGTCTTCATACTGACCTGAGAAAGCTACAAGAATGGATTTGCACTCCTCATTTTATTTAATTAAAAGTCCATAGGTGACAATCGGAATATGTTCAGACAAGGGATGTTTAAGTGTGTAGTTGAGTCCGGACCGACAATATGTGAGTCCTTTCTGGACATAGTATAACTAAATTACATTACGACCAATCAGCTCAATCTACTAAGAGGTATTTAAACTTTCAGATTTATATCCAATACTAGCTGTGTCAAGAATAACTTTTACTATTGGATGAGACATCAATGAGAAAACAGTTTACGTGGATTGAGTTTGGTTTCACAAGCACTCACATAATGTTCTCATAGAAATCTCTCTCACACACACCTGTTTAATAGTTCTGCTGTCACGCAAGAAACTCCAGCAGATTCATATCGAAAGCAATTCTTTACCAAATCTGCAATTACAATCAACTCTTCAAGTTACTGGTCATTAAGAATTGTGTTACTGGGCTATATGTTATTACTTTGGACTTGCCAACTACTAATGACTCAATATACTACCTTTAATATTCTTAGTATTTTAACTTAATGGTAGTAGGTTGGTAGACAGCAACCACCCAGGGAAATACTACCGTCCTGCCAGGTGATTGTGAAACAGAATCCTATAACTGTTTTATATGATGGTAGGATTGCTAGTGTCTTTTTCTGTCTCATAACACGCTGGATAACAGGTATATCTTGCTGCTGCTGCTTCTACTTATACTTAGGTCATATATATATATATATATATATATATATATATATTTATATATATATATATATATATTTTATATATATATATATATATACATACACACATCTAGGGTTTTTCTTCTTTTTCTTGATAGCTCTTGTTCTTGTTCTTTTTTCCTCTCTATTGCCCATGGGGAAGTGAAAAAGAATCTTTCCTCCGTAAGCCATGCGTGTCGTGTGAGGCGACTAAAATGCCGGGAGCAATGGGCTAGTAACCCCTTCTCCTGTACACATTTACTAAAAATCAGAAGAAGAAAAACTTTATAAAACTGGGATGCTTGAATGTGCGTGGATGTAGTGCGGATGACAAGAAACAGATGTTTGCTGATGTTATGAATGAAAAGAAGTTGGACGTCCTGACCCTAAGCGAAACAAAGCTGAAGGGGGTAGTGGAGTTTCGGTGGAGGGAAATAAATGGGAATAAATCAGGAGTATCTGAGAGAGTTCGAGCTATGGAAGGGGTAGCAATAATGTTGAAGGACCAGTTATGGAAGGAGAAGAGGGAATATAAATGTGTAAATTCAAGGATGATGTGGATTAAAATGAGGGTCGGATGTGAAAAGTGGGTCATAATAAGCGTGTATGCACCTGGAGAAGAGAGAGTGTAGAGGAGAGAGATTTTGGGAGATGTTAAGCAAATGTATAGGAAACTTTGAACCAAATGAGAGAGTAATTGTGGAAGGGGACCTAAATGCTAAGGTAGGAGAAACATTTAGAGAGGATGTGGTAGGTAAGTTTGGGGTGCCAGGTGTAAATGATAATGGGAGCCCTTTGATTGAACTTTGTATAGAAATGGGTTTAGTTATAAGTAATATGTATTTTAAGAAAAAGAGGATAAATAAGTATACAAGATATGTAGGGTGTAATGACAGTAGTTTGTTGGACTATGTATTGGCAGATAAAAGACTGTTGAGTAGACCTCAGGATGTACATGTTTATAGAGGGGCCACAGATATATCAGATCACTTTCTAGTTGTAGCTACAGTGAGAGTAAAAGGTAGATGGGATACAAGGAAAATAGAAGCAGCAAGTAAGAGAGAGGTGAAGGTGTATAAACTAAAAGAGGAAGCAGTTTGGCTAAGATATACACAACTATTGGAGGATAGATGGGCTAGTGAGAGTATAGGCAATGGGGTCGAAGATGTATGGGGTAGGTTTAAAAATGTAGTGTTAGAGTTTTCAGCAGAAGTTTGTGGTTACAGGAAAGTGGGTGTGGGAGGGAAGAAGAGCGATTGGTGGAATGATGATGTAAAGAGAATAGTAAGGGAGAAAAAGTTAGCACATAGGAGGTTTTAACAAAGTAGAAGTGATGCAAGGAGGGAAGAGTATATGGAGAGAAAAAGAGAGGTTAAGAGAGTGGTGAAGTAATGTAAAAAGAAAGCAAATGAGAGAGTGGGTAAGATGTTATCAACAAATTTTGTTGAAAATAAGAAAAAGTTTTGGAGTGAGATAAATAAGTTGAAGAACCCTAGGGAACAAATGGATTTGACAGTTAAAAATAGGAGAGGAGAGTTATTAAATGGAGAGCTCGAGGTGTTGGGAAGATGGAGGGAATATTTTGAGGAATTGTTAAATGTTGATGAAGATAGGGAAGCTGTGATATCTTGTAGGAGTGAGGAAGAGCCAGTTGTGAGTGTGGGGGAAGTTCGTGAGGCTTTGGGTAAAATGAAAGGGGGTAAGGCAGCCGGGATTGATGGGATAAAGTTAGAAATGTTAAAAGCAGGTGGGGCTATAGTTTTGGAATGGTTGGTGCTATTATTTAATAAATGTATGGAAGAGGGTAAAGTACCTAGGGATTGGCAGAGCGCATGCATATTCCTTTGTATAAAGGCAAAGGGGATAAAAGAGTGCAAAAAATATAGGGCAATAAGTCTGTTGAGTACACCTGGTTAAGTGTATGGTAGAGTTATTATTGAAAGAATTAAGAGTAAGACTGAGAGTAGGATAGCAGAGGAACAAGGAGGTTTTAGGAAAGGTTGAGGGTGTGTGGACCAGGTGTTTACAGTGAAACATATAGGTGAACAGTATTTAGATAAGGGTAAAGAGGTTTTTGTGGCATTTATGGATTTGGAAAAGGCATATGACAGGGTGGATAGGGGGGCAATGTGGCAGATGTTGCAGGTATATGGTGTAGGAGGTAGGTTACTGAAAGCAGTGAAGAGTTTTTAAGAGGATAGTGAGGCTCAGGTTAGAGTATATAGGAGAGAGGGAGATTATTTCCCAATAAAAGTAGGCCTTAGACAAGGATGTGTGACGTCACCGTGGTTGTTCAATATATTTATAGATGGGGTTGTAAGAGAAGTGAATGCTAGAGTCTTGGTAAGAGGTGTGGAGTTAAAAGGTGAAGAATCAAACACAAAGTGGGAGTTGTCACAGTTGCTCTTTGCTGATGACACTGTGCCTTTTGGAGATTCTGAAAAGAAGTTGCAGAGGTTGGTGGATGAATTTGGTAGGGTATGTAAAAGAAGAAAATTAAAAGTGAATATAGGAAAGAGTAAGGTTATGAGGATAACAAAAAGATTAGGTGACGAAAGATTGAATATCAGATTGGAGGGAGAGAGTATGGAGGAGGTGAATGTATTCAGATATTTAGGAGTGGACGTGTCAGCAGATGGTTCTATTGAAGGATGAGGTGAATCACAGAATTGATGAGGGGAAAAGAGTGAGTGGTGCACTTAGGAGTCTGTGGAGACAAACAACTTTGTCCGTGGAAGCAAAGATGGGAATGTATTAGAGTACAGTTGTACCAACACTCTTGTATGGGTGTGAAGCATGGGTGATGAATGTTGCAACGAGAAGGCTGGAGGCAGTGGAGATGTCATGTCTGAGGGCAATGTGTGGTGTGAATATAATGCAGAGAATTCGTAGTTTGGAAATTAGAAGGTGTGGGATTACCAAAACTTTTATCCGGAGGGCTGAGGAGGGGTTGTTGAGGCGGTTCGGACATGTAGAGAGAATGGAACAAAACAGAATAACTTCGAGAGTGTATAAATCTGTAGTGGAGGAAAGGGGGGGGTAGGGGTCGGCCTAGGAAGGGTTTTAGGGAGGGGCTAGAGGAGGTTTTGTGTGTAAGAGGCTTGGACTTCCAGCAATGGTGCATGAGCGTATTTGATAGAACTGAATGGCGACAAATGGTTTTTAATACTTGACGTGCTGTTGGAGT